CAATGTGAATGTTCATATCGTCAATGTGTAAGGGCCCGGCCCATGTCGATCCTCGTGGGTGCCCGGAAAAATTCGAGTCAGGCCGGGGCGGGCCTGACCCGTTGACAATGTGAATATTCACATTGACATGTTAACATTCACATTAATAGAAGTGTAAAATTGGCCCGCGTCCCGTGGCGGGGCGAAACCCGCCCGTGGCCCATGAGCAGCCCGGGGCGGGCCTGGTCCGGCTCGTTGACAATGTGAATATTCATATTGACATGTTACCATTCACATTGATAAGAGTATAAAATTGGCCCGCGGTCCGAGGCGGGCCTGGCTCGACCCGCTGACAATGTGAATATTTACATTGACATGTTAACATTCACATTGATAGGAGTGTAAAATTAGCCCGTGCCTCGTGGCTGCCCGAAACCCGCCCACGGCCCGTGGGCGGCCCGGGGCAAGCCCGGCCCGGCCTGGTGACAATGTGAATATTCACATTGACATGTTAATATTCACATTGATAAGAGTATAAAATTGGCCAGCGGCCTAGGACGAGCCCGACCCGGCCCGTTGACAATGTGAATATTCACATTTGACATGTTAATATTCACATTGATAAGAGTATAAAATTGGACCGCGGCCCATGGGCTGCCAAAAGCTCCCTCGCGGCCCGGGGCGGGCCCGGCCCATTGACAATGTGAATATTCACATTCACATTGATAGGAGTGTAAAATTAGCCCGCGCCTCGTGGTTGTCCGAAACTCGCCCACGGCCCGTGGGCGGCTCGGGGCGGGCCTAGCTATTTTTTTTTTAATTCTTTTTAATTTTTTCTACCAAAATTTTATTATTTTTCACAAAAAAAGACACTAGGCCTTGGCGCGGGCCGGGCCTCAGACTGAGCCTTGTTTGGGCCTTAACCGGGCCGATGGGCCAGGCCGGGCTTCAAAGTGATGGCCCAGGCCCTAGCCTAGCATCTCGAACTAGGCTCGAGCCTGGGCCCAAACGAGCCTTTCCCTGGCCGGGCCGGGCCGGGCCGACCCACGGGCCAAAAAATTAGGCCTAGGCCCTAGCCGTGGCACAAGGGTATTCGGGCTTTGGACGGGCTGATGGATCGAGCCTCGGGTCGGACCAGTGGGCCTGGGCCTAGCCTCGAGCTTAGGACGGACTTGGGCGGGCCTGGCCGTTTTTTTTTAATTGTTTTTAATTTTTTCTACCAAAATTTTATTATTTTTTACAAAAAAATACATTGAGCCTCGGACCGAGCCTTGAATGGGCCTTAAGCAGGCCAATGGACCGGGCCGGGCTTCAAAGTGATGGCCTAGGCCCTAACCTAGGATCTCGGACATGCTCGGGCCCGGACTCAAACGAGCCTGCCCCGAGCCGTGAGCGGGCTTCGGGCAGCCCACGGGCTGCGGGCCAATTCTACATTCCTATCAATGTGCATGTTAACATGTCAACGTGAATATTCACATTGTCAATGGGCCAGGCCGGGCCTACCCCGGGCCACGGGCAAGCTTCGAGCAGCGGGTAAATTTTACACTCCTATCAATGTTAATGTTAACATGTCAATGTGAATATTCACATTGTCACGGGTTGGGCCAAGCCCGCCTCGTGCTGCGGTCGGGCTTCGGGCCGCCCACGGGCTGCGGGCCAATTTTACACTCTTATCAATGTGAATGTTGACATGTTAATGTGAATATTCACATTGTCAACGGGCCGGGTTGGGCCTGCCCTGAGCCACTGGTCAATTTTATACTCTTATCAATGTGAATGTTAACATGTCAATATGACTATTCACATTGTCAACAGGCCGGGCCGGGCTCGCCCCGGGTCGCCCACGGGCCGTGGGCGGGTTTCGGGCCAATGTGAATGTTAGCATGTCAATGTGAATATTCACATTGTCAACGGACCGGGTCAGGCCCGCCCCGGGCCGCCCATGGGCCGCCGACGGGTTTCGCGCCGCCACGGGACGCGGGCCAATTTTATACTCCTATTAATATGAATGTTAACATGTCAATGTGAATATTCACATTGTCAACGGGCCGGGCCTGCCCCAGCTCGCGGGCGGATTTTGGGCCGCCCACGGGCCAATTTTACATTCCTACAAATGTGAATTTTAAAATATGAATATTCACATCATAAAATTGCTAACCGTTCAAAAAATATTTATAAGGGTATCAAAATTAAATATAAGGGCATAAGTGTCCAAGAAAATAGTGTAAATCAAGAAAAATGACTTTATAGAATAAAACTATACATACATGGGACTAAATGGGTTAAAAAAAAATTTCATGGACTTCTTGGATTAAAACACTTCTAAATGGGATTTATCAATAAAAATCTCAATAAAATAAACAAAATATTTAGCAAAATAAGTGACTTATCTATCTATCTATCTATACTATTAATAAAAGGAACATTTTAGCCGGTATCCTAAACCATCCTCAACTTTAATACCAAGTGTTTATTTTGTTATTACAAAAAAACCCATTAAACAAATAATGGACGGGAGATTTGAATTGTGGATAGGAATAAATAATACAATGAAGAAGACCCTTACTACTTGAATCAAACACAATATATATGATAAGGGATAATTTGTGATGATCTAAATAACTGTACTTTTTGATTTTTTATGAAATATGAGTTGGGTATAAGTTCGGTTTGAAGTGATGTGATAGAGAGGTGATGTGATTTAAATAAGATGATACGACTTAAATAAGATAGTGACTTTTTAACTTTTTTTTTACTTTTTTAGGTTATAACCAACGAGGCATAAATATTTTATCTTATTTTTAGGAGTTGTTTAGAATATTCTAAATAAGTATACTTTTTAACTTTTTATGAAATATAAATTGAGTTTAAAGTGATGTGATAAAGAGGTGATGTGACTTAAATAAGATAATATGATTTAAATAAAATAGAAATTTTTTAATTTTTTAATTTTTTTTTTTTTTTTTTTTTGTGAAGAGAAGAGAAGCTTACTTAACCTTAAATTACACATATATTACATGTATCAATCGCTAATATAATTAAAACGGATAATTATCCAATTTTAAAGTCCTGTCCGTCTTGTCGTCTAGTCCTGTCCGTCTTTATTTGCTCAAATAATATTCCAAGGACAATATAATAATCACATGGACAAATAAAGGCTGACTGGGACAATTCTATCGTTTAGGGATGAACATAGCACATGATACATCCATTTCAGAATGAACCTGGATGCGAATGTTGTATAGGGAGTAAACCTTCCCAATGCACCTGAACAGCCGTACATTATCCACAGTCCGCCACGTCACCACCCTGCCGGGTGGTTCCTAGTTTCTCTTATTGGATCATACATATGGATTTATCCCATCATAATTTTTTATATAATCATTTAATTCAATAATATATAAATTTTATATTGAAATAAACTGACATTATTTTAAAATATGTGATTTTAAAAAACCCAAATTTTAAGTTATTAAATTAAATGTTTTATTATTATAGGTAAAAAGAAACGGAGAGATCCAAAAAAATATATATATATACTATAAAAAAATTGTACATAATGATATTATGGCACATAAGTTGACTATTAATTATTATATAAATAAAACTATCACATTATTTTTATGGCCAATAATGTATAAATTTTTTATAAAAATGTCTTTTATTATATATTTTTTTCTTGAGGATCATACTATAATAATGTGTGATCAGAATTGTAAACGAATCGAACCGAGTTGGACGTTATTGAGCTTGAACTTGGCTCGAAACTCGATAATAATTTTTTTAATTAAATTTTATATTATTTAAATATATAAATAATATATTTATATATTATTTAATAAATTTTTTAAATAAAAATATTATTTTAAATACAAATAATATTTTTATACTATTATTTATACATATTTTATATTATTTAATGTATAAATAATATATTTATATTATAATTTAAATAAAAATAAATGAATCGATCTTGACGAAGTGAAGTTGAAACTCAAGTTCGACTAATTTATTAAATGAGTTTAAAATTTTAATTTATTTATTCACTTAACGAATTGAGTTGAATCGAACTCTTAGGGGTTAAGTGTACTTTTTGATTTTTTATGAAATATGGATTGGGTTTGAAGTGATGTGGTAGAGAGATGATGTGATTTAAATAAGATGATGTGAATTAAGGGGTTGTTTGAGGTGTCCTAAATAAGTGCACTTTTTTTCTTTTTAGATTAAAAAGTTGAGGTTGAAAATATGAATGTTTGGGTTAACTTTTTGACTTTTTATGGAAAAATATGTATTAAAAAATTATATAAATTAATGTATAGGGAAAAATTAGTATTGGGAGTTGTGCAGCCGTAATTGTTGACTTTTGGTAAATAATAATAACTTTTTGACTTTTTAACTTTTTTGAGACTTTCCAAACTTGACCTAAATAGGATAATGACTTTTTGACTTTTTAAATTTTTCAGACTATGCCAAACCAGGCCTTAAAGAGTTGAACTCGTGATCAATTCAGTTCATTTGTAATCTAGTGTGACTACACTCCCGGTGAATTGGCAATGGAAAATGTTGTAAAAAATAAAAGAAAATATGCTAAACCCCTTTCACCTACTATGGCGGTGTTTGGGAAGCTTGGCAATAGGCTATTTTAGCCTCAATTGTAAAAAAAAAAATCTTTTAGCACCTAAAATTTATTGATTTAAATAAATAAATAAAATATAGGACACACCCTACACTGTCAACATGATAGTGTAGGCACAAAGATTGACAGCTCAATCATTTCAAAGAGTAAATGATAATTTTGCCCTTTCAAATTTATTTTGGAAAAAAATAAAGTTAAGGATAAATTTGTCATTTCAATCTTAAACATATTTTTTAATACACAATCCAAATAAAAATTCATCATATCTTTTAAAACACACAAAATTAAAATAACCTATTAAAATAATCAAAAAAAAATCTAAAAAATAACGACTTTTCAAACGCTCACTATATAATATACAAACATAACTATAGATTGGGTGGATAAAAAAGAACTACAGATTGAGGGAGGGAGAGAGAGAGAGAGACAGAGAGAGAGAGATTAAACATGCCAGAAAGCATATTCACAGAGATCAAAATACCTCATCATCAGAAACCCTACGATGGAGATCTCTTCCCTGCGGTTCTATCACCAAAACCAAACACCTTTTCAGTCGCCTCTGACGTCACTGTTCTCACAGAAGCCATCAAAGCTCACAAGCCGTGGCTCGAGTCGCTAATCCACAAAGCCGGGGCTGTTCTCTTCAGGGGATTCCCTGTAACAACAGCCGATGACTTCAACGACGTCGTTGAAGCCTTCGGCTTTGAAGAGCTTCCCTACGTCGGCGGCGCTGCTCCCCGGACCAACGTCGTCGGCCGGGTTTTCACCTCCAACGAGTCTCCTCCCGATCAGAAAATCCCTTTTCACCATGAAATGGCTCAGGTGAATTTTTGTTAAAATTATTACACAGATCAGTGAAAAACTTTATCAACAATATTAATAATTAAAGTTATAAAATTTTCAATGATTTAGTATTTTTTTTTTTTTTTTGAAAGTAATCTGAATGTAATTTTTTCTGTTTATTTATTTATATTCTTTTGGGTTATCCTCTATTTATCTTTTAAATTTGTAAATCTATTACTTTTTTAATTTAAGAAAATTTACCCGTTTCTGAAAAGTTGAACCATTTAGTCTTAAAAGTTTTCTTATGCTCCATTTAGTCCCATTTATACATCATCATGATGTTCATGATGTAAATGAATCTGATGTTTCATTCTATAATTTCAAAATTTATTGAAATCTGATGAACATTAGATGTGTGAAATCTAATGTTTGAAACATTCATCCTATAATTTCAAACATTATTGAAATCTGATGAACATTAGATGTTTGAAATCTAATGTTCGAAACATTAATCTGATGTTTGAAACATTGTAATGGACCTTTCAGTCTATAAGAAAACTTTTAAGAATAAACAGTGTATAAGTTATTAATTTGAGATTTATTGGTGCATCGTTTTTTTTTTATAATATAATTATGTACTTGTTAATGGCGATCAGGTTCCTTTTTACACAATAATCCGTTTATCTTTCTTTCCCCCTTCTTTTAGGAAAATTTAGCCAAAACAGCTCCATTGGATCTTAAGACCATTGTTTGGTAGAAATGATCGTCTAATTTATTGTGAATTAGAATAAATTTATTGTGAATTAGAAATGACCGTCTAATTTATTGTAATTTATTGTAAAATAAAATAAAATATAATTTTTTTCTTAAACAATATTGCTAGAAATAACATGTTATTGTGAATTAGAATAGGATCAATTTTAATGGTAATAATTTGTGTTTAAAGAATTTCATAGTCAACCTGAATTTTATTTGATAGATTTTGAGTAGAAGATTTTAAAAATATTATTTTTTATTAAAAATCGACATCTAGATAAAAAGTTATATTATTTTAAATTTTAATATTTTAATAATAGCCGTATGTGTTAGATTTTTCAAGAATTTTTTTTGCGTTTGTTCTTAACGCATTAAAATTTTATTATAAGGGAGTCTTTTATTAAATTATTATTTTTGAGTTATCCTCTGTTTTTTTTATATAAATTATTTTTCATCAGATGAATATGATTATGCACTTGTTAATGGTGATTACTATCATCAGTACACTTTCTAGTTTTGAACCAATTTGTTGATATTTACTCATCATTGTTAATTTTTTTTTGGTTTTTGTTTTTGTTTTTTTGTTTACCAAACAGATGCTGCTCAATTTGTTCCTAAATTAGTCCCTTTGTTTTTAACTCTTTGGAGTTTTTGTATTGTTCTTGTTTTTTAGGTAATGGATTCTCTACGGTTGCACATCCCACTGGAGAGATGCTATTGGGTTCGATGGGTCAATTTTAGTAATAAGAAACTTTCATCTTGTATGACCAATTGAGCAAATCATTCATATAGAGTAATCAAGTCTATCAAATATCTTTAGTTATATGGTCGGATTACATTTCTCTAAAAAAAGAAAATTTGATTGCAAGTATGATTTTGATAATAAACTCGTATTATAAGACAAAGTGATCCGAACATCTTGATTTTTTTGTGTAGATGCTCTACTCAACAAATTTTACAAGATGAATAGTTTAGATCACTGAAATCCACTCAACAACACCACTCCAATTGGATACCGAATTGGAGAAAATCCATGCTTGTGAAATTTCACTATCTAGGCATGCCCAATGCTTCAGATTGTCACTCACTAACCTGTTGTTAACAGGTTCCTAAGTTCCCGGCCAAGCTGTTTTTCTTCTGTGAAGTAGAACCAGGAAAAGGGGGAGAAACCCCTATTGTTCTTAGCAACATCGTATACGAGAGGATGAAAGAGAAGTACCCAGAATTTGTGGAACGATTGGAAGAGCATGGACTGATCTATACGAGAGTGTTGGGGGAAGACGATGATCCTACATCGCCAATTGGCCGTGGTTGGAAGTCTACCTTCTTGACCAAAGACAAGAGTGTTGCAGAGGAAAGGTTTGTTGTTGGATCCATTCTCTAGTGTTAGAAATTGTTGATTTCTTGTTTTTGTTCAAGCTTGTGAAACTCAGGCTTGACTTCCCCTGTTTTCAATTACCTAGTAAAAAAGCCTATAAAAAAATTGCTTATTTTTGTCTTCACTAAATTTTCTTCAATTTAAAAATAAAAATTAAAATTAAGAATCATCTACTCTAGATGGACAAAAAAATCACATATTTGGACTCAAAGTTGGAAAAAAATAAATTAATAAAGACAAAATTATGATTGAAAAATATCTCAACTTATAACTGCTGCACAAAAATTAACTTAGAGAACATGTTATTTTAATAATTTTTTAACTTTTTTGGTAAAATATGAGGTGAAAAAAATTAATATATATTTTTTTATTTTTTACGAAAGAATATGCAAAAACTAAAGAAAAAATAGAATTTTTGACTTTTTGATATAGGTTATAAGTTTTTTAATTTTTTTAGTAATTTTTTTACTTTTAAGCTAAAAAACTCGCATGTCAAACGAGGCCTTATTTTGACTCAAATGTTTTTGGCTCTTGGCAATTAGAATTGATTAGGTTTCTAATATCACAAACATTATACATTATTAATACTACACAATTACAAATTTAAATAAGAGTAATAATGTGCATCATGCCAAGTAGAGCATTGTGGGCAAGTTGGTTTTGCCTTTTTTAACCCGACAACTATCAGATTTTGTGGTAAATAATGGGTAAAACACATTGGCACTCCGAGATTTCTGTTTCATTACAGTTCCCTTCACATTTGAAAAATTACTTTTCCCTCAATGAGGTTTGTAATTTCATTATAAATTGTCTTTTGAATTGTTGATGCCATGCTTTGGAATTTTCTAAATGATAATCTTACTGTTTGTCCTACCATTTCTTCTTTATATTATCATGATTATATTCTATAACTTTCTATCAGTAAATTTTATCTGAACATATTCTTATTGAGTTTTTATACAAATATAAATGTTATATAAAATTTTCAAATACAATGAAATAGTTTAATGGTGGCCTTTCACTTTAAAACAAAACACTCATAAACATGATTTATATTTACTACAATATCATTATCACAACATTTTTATAGTTTTTTTTCTTGTATAAATTTTTATATATGAATATGAATATGATTTTTCATTTTTATTTTTATCATTATATTTAGATTAGATCAATTTAATCTAGATATATTTAAAAAGTATAAAATTTGTATAATTTTTTTTAAAAAAAAAATTCATTGAATACAACAAAATAAGATAATGTATTGAATTTTTGTATTTTTGTATGTATATATATATATATATATATTGTGTATTTAGTGAATTTAAAAAAAAAAACACAAAATATTATACTTATTAAGTATATCTAAATTAGTTGTATCTTAAAAAAAATGCTTAAAATATTAAAAAAAATTAGTAAAAATAAAAAAAAAAAACTCAATTTTTTGTGTAAGTTAAATCAAAGAAGAAGATTGTTATTTCTGTTAAAATGACATGAATAAAATATTTGCATTATTTTATATGTATAAAAACTAAAGGACAAATACGTCATTTTAATTTGATAGGATAGTAAGTGTAATTTTTTAAATGTGTGAAGATGATTTGTATTAAACAGAAACTTTAAAAGGTGTCAGTGTCAGTGTGGTTTACCCCTAATGAATTAATACAAAAAGGTCCACATGCCGGGCCCAAAATGCATAGATGCAAGACAAAATGTTGGCAACTATAATGCAAACCCCTTGGGTCATATCTGTGTCCCATCCAATGAAATTCTCTCTGTGTTGGAATAAATACTGAATTTTTTTTATCACAAAAACATATGACAGGGCTGCCAAACTGGGTATGAAGCTGGAATGGATGGAAGATGGAGGAGTGAAGACAGTAATGGGGCCGATACCGGCAATCAAAGTGGACAAGAGCCGACAACGCAAGATATGGTTCAACAGCATGGTGGCTGCTTACACAGGTTGGGAAGATGCTCGGAACGATCCTGTAAAAGCTGTCACATTTGGGGATGGGAAGCCATTGCCGGCTGATATCATCTATGACTGTCTTAACATTCTCGATGAGGAAAGTGTTGCCATTCCATGGCAAAAGGGTGATGTTATACTGTTGGATAACTGGGCTGTCCTTCATTCTCGAAGGCCATTCAACCTGCCTCGGCGTGTGCTTGCTTCGCTGTGCAAGTAAACAATGAGGCTTTACTTGTCGATCTCTGTGTATTGCTTAATTCTAGCATTTTAGGGAAGCGTCGGGAAAGAGATTTGAGCAAATAGTTTCATGAATCACACTAGTATTGTCTATTGAGTGAAATAAAATGATGTGATGTTAATATTTTGTGAAACGTCTTACATAATTCTGGACACTAAAGCTTACCCTCTCAAAATTCAATCCCTCTCCCCACCACATGCTGTACGCATCAATGACATACACATTTTGCAAATATTACAGATATCAGCAACGCATATATTTCAAAATCATCTTAGTTTTACAAATCCTCGAAGTCCTAAAATCATCTAAGTTTTACAAAACCTCCATTCAAGGCAGTCATAGAACAAGATATTATCATGCAGCATGCTCATAGATCCTGATTAAACAGTAGTTCAAAGTCCTCCATTCAAAATAAATAAATTTGGGGTCTATTTTCCATCACAAGAAGAAGAATTCAAGATTGTCAGAGAGTATCTTTCAAGAATGAAAGGTCAAAAGAACATGAAAAAGGAGAGAGAAAAAGCACTTACAAACTCAACAAGCTAATCGCAACTCATAATAATAAATTTTGTGGTCTAACTCCGATCATTACATCTCACATTACAACAAAAATTCTCACCAAGGAAATTTTAAAAGAATACATCATGAAAGGGAAAGAAAATATAGTGGATAAACTACACCTATGAATAAAACAATATATATCAACAGTTGAAGCTCTATGCAATTATACACACGCAACTACACAGGTATAGGAGAGACAATAGTTGAGATAAACATGAAAAGGACGATGTCAAAAGTAGGAGGATTCATGAGGAATGAGCCCCATACTTATCTTCCTTTAACAAGGTCGCTGAATATTTGGCTGTTCCCGGCAAGAGTTGCTTCCCACTCTACAGAGGACAAAAGGATCTGTGACAAGGAAATCGTGACTTGCTTCATGTCTGGCCGCAAAATGGGATCTTCATCTACACATTGCTTCGCCAACATTGCCACCTACATCAACAAATAGAATGAAGAAGTCAATAACCATATCACAACTAGAAAATTGAAAGCCGTCACCAGTACAAGTGGTTGTGTCTTTGCAGCATCCTGGTATGTCAAGTCAGATTAACTGCCAGGTATCCTTGGCATCATTTCAAAGAGTAGAATGACATCAAGCCGCTGTAGTTTGCGGACTAAAATGCACCATCATGCTTGTTAACAGGCATTTTCATCATTGTACAAATCACGGACATTTTCATCATTTTTTAAGAGGCAATACTCACTTTAATCTCCTGTGGTTTATTTCATGTGCAGTTATCCCCTGGCATTTGGTGATTAGTGCAAGTTTGGCCTAATATTTCAATTGTTGTTAGCATATACCTCTTGAAGGCCACAGCTACACTCTAGTTCCCCAGGCAAAAATGATCAGATCTATCAACTGAATCCCCAATAATATTAAGGGTAAACTACCAATAAATCCTAATAATTGGACTTAATTTCCATAAAGTCTTATTGAAAATAAGTTCTAATAAAATCGTCACTAAAATAATTTTTTATGATGATTTTTTTGCATACGTTACCAAAAATTGACAATGTGACTTTTTTTTTACATGATTTTTATAAATTGTCGCTAAAACTTACAATTAATGACGTTTTTTTGTGGTGAATTTTTCAAACTGTCGCTGAAAGTTTACGTTTTTTTTGTGACAATTTTTTTAAATTGTTGCTAAAACTTATAATTAGTAAAAAATTTGTGACAAAATTTCAAACTATCGCTGAAAATTAACAATTAGTAACGTTTTTTAATAGTGTTTGATGAAAAACATCATTAATTATATCTATTGGACAATAAGTCCACCTATTAAGACTTACACGCAAGTCCCCAATATATTATGCCAATGTCTGACCAGGAAATAGAAACACACTTTTACCTTAAAAACAGAGTCTTGGGGGTACAGCTCCATCAAATTAGGGTCGATGTGATCTTTCATGCTTGACATAGTCATGGAGTCAGGTGAGTTCTTAAGAGCTGCTAGCATCTGCAATTTAACAAGCATCAAGCAGAAGCAGTAAGAAATATCAAACACAATCTTCTATGAGTTAATACAGCAAACAAAAACAGAGAGAAATTAGGTGCAGAAAATTCATAACCATCGCAAATCCTGACAATTGAAGCATTTGAAAGAATGGAAACAAGATCAAGCATCAAAGGACATGCACAACAACACAAAGAATCTGCTTATTAAAATATAATATAAGTACTACATTCGAGTTTGGAGTCGAGTATCTTTTGGAAAGGGCTGCTCCCTGTGACGAGGTCTGTGAATTTCACTGGGTTCCATCTATAACATCGACCAATTAGGCAAAAACTTTTTTGGATATCATCATTTAATACGAAGAACAAAAGCACGTGCAACATCCAGAAACATCAGCATATGACACGAAAAGCATGTTCAAGCTTCTACAAATTTTGAAACTCCCAAAATTCAAACTTCTACATAATCATCTCTTTGGGAAATGATAGCTCAACTACTTTTTGTTTTAATGCCATGGCCCAGAGCCTCTTGGATCCTCCACTCTTGTTGCTTATTGATCAGTTGATAACATACGGAATTCATTTATATCTATTGAGTTGACATGAATATGTATCTTAGAAGCAGTACAGGGTTGCTTAGGTCTCTTATTCACTATAATTTGTAATCTGAGTTTTCATGCATGCAAGGTTGTGTCAATTCTAATCAAATCAACATTTACTTTTTATCATATTGAAAACAATTTTATGTGTAATCATATCTAACTAACATTGCATTAAAAAAATGACTTAATTGGATTTGCAACAGCACTTACAATAGAAACCAATGAACGTCTTTCAGGATTTTCCATTGCAATGCCTTTTGTTCGTATGACAGCTTCCTTTCCTGATATAATCTCAAAAAGAACAACACCAAATGCATAAACATCACTTTTCATTGTTGCTAGGCCTCTCTGCAAGTATCTGTAAAGAATCATAAGAGGAGGCGATCAAAGTTTAATTCAGAAACTTGTAGCTGTCTGCATTTGTAGTTGACAGTATGATTATGTATTTACTCTGGAGCTAAATAACCATAAGTTCCAACAACTCTCGTTACTGAAGCTTCACCATCAGTAGTTTTTCCAACAAGTTTTGCCAGACCAAAATCTGAAATCTAAATGCAGAGGACAAAACCAATCAGTTACACTTGTTTAATAGTAGGGTTGCAGAAACAGAACCAATGAGGTAAAATAGGCGAACACCTTTGCCCGAAAGGCTCCATCAAGTAAGATGTTGCTTGTCTTGATATCTCGATGCACATAATGAGGTTTAGTATGCTCATGGATGTACTCCAGACCTCTAGCAGCGTCAAGTACAATCTGAAGCCTCATGATCCAAGAAAGCGAGGTATGACCTAAATAGCAACCATTGAGAAATCTTAGCGCAAATATGCAAGTCATGGCTAGCACATGCATGGTTACACCAAGCATTTATAAGGTCCTAATTCTGGGCTCATGCCTTCACCACTGAAAAGAGAAGTAGCCCAGTGTTAAACACATAAGCGAGAAGTACATATCTACGCTAGATCAGAAGGGGGTAAGGCTGTGGACTAGATGATATACCTATTGAAGATTGGAAATGCTTAAGGTGAGGGAAAGGTTAACAAAATCGTTTAATAAGATAATAATGACTAGGAAAATGTTTGAGAAGTGGAGAAAATGTATGATAATATCGATATATTAGAAAAAAATAAAATCCCAAATTACAACTATAGAAGCACCAAATTAATGAGTCATACAATGAAATTGTGGGAGAGATTGAGTATCACTTAAAAGTTGCAACAACAATGACAGAGAATCAGTTTGGATTTATGCTTTGGTAGATCAATTATGAAAGCAATATACTTACAAAGCAGACTAATGGAAAAGTACATAGAGAAGAAGTGAGATCTCATATTGTTTTTATAGATTTAGAAAAAAGCTAATGATAGGGTGTCAACGGATATAGTATGGAGGGTGTTAGAGAAAAAAGATATATTGATGCAATAAAAGACATGTATGAAATCATAGAGTTCACCAACAACTTGTAGTTCGACATAATTGATGATCAAAATTTACATATACTAAAAGAATTGCACCCAGCTGGATATCGGTAGTGTTGGATCTTTTTCTGTAATACTACATAAAGGTGTCATCTTACCCTTGCTTTGAGGATCATGCAAATGGCTTCCAACTGAACCCTTCTGGGCATATTCATAAATGAGGAAAAGGTCATCCTCACTTGTCGCATAACCAATCAATTCTACCTTGACAAAGTGAAGCCAAAATGGAGTCAAAATCTGAAGATTGTGAAAACGAGCTTAAGAACAAAAAAGAATCAGAAGGTTTCAATTAAAATACAATGTACATTACCAAATTTGTATGATGAACCTTGCAAAGCACTTTTATTTCTGCCCTGAATTCCTTAGTTTTTGTAGCAGTCATTCTTTTGATCGCAACTTCCTACAAGGAATCAACCTTACATAATTCGTGGTTTGACTGGGGTCAAGGTTCTAAAAAGCGGTTGTGGTCGCCGTAACGGTGGCGGTGACGCGGTTGTGGTTGTGGGGTATAAAGGCTGTAGTGTAACGGGTGCGGTAACCGGAACCGTGAATTTTTTTATTTTTCGCACAATTTGAAAAAAACTTACCGATACGCATATTTTTTTTCCATGATCATATTTATTAGGTTAAAAATAAATATTGATCAATTTTAATAAATTTTTAAGTATGATCCAATATATTTCATATTTTTAAATTATTATAAATTGAGTTTTTTACATTTTATTTTAATAATTAATGACTTTATATTTTACAAAAAATTAATCACTAACTATTATATATAAGATAAATAATGACAAAAGTAAGAGAATAAATAGGAGCCTAAATATATATATATATATATATATATATACATATTTTAACCAAGCCAAATAGATAATGACCACACTTATTATTATTATTATTTTCAAACAATATATAGATAGACACACAAAACAAAATGGTTTAGTGATAGCAGCTGAATACAATAGCATAGGTCTTATAGTTTCAACAAATCAATAACATGTTCTTCATCTTCCCTCTCTCTCACTCTATCTCTTGCTCCTCTATTTTCTCTTTATCTTCCCTCTTCTCTCTATCTCTCTTCTCCCATTTTCAACTTTTTTTTGTGTGTTTTTTTGAAAGAAACAGTTTGGAACCGTTACGTAACGGTGCGTAACAGGCCGTTACGGCTGTTACGGCACCGTTACGACCACTATGGCAGCCACTACAGCCGACACACCTGTGAATCTCAATCACACTGCAAAAGCGGCCGTAACGGGTGGCGGTAACCGCTAAAACCGTTACGTAACAGCGTTACGTAACGGTTGCGGCTGCTTTTTAAAACCTTGACTGGGGTAAATCAATTTGTAAAAAGTAAAATAATCACAAGTCGTGAAGTGATAATTGCTTACTTGGTCACAGAGGAGGCCATAATACACAGAGCCATAAGTTCCGTGCCCAAGAAGATTTGAATCAGAGAAACCATCAGTAGAAGATAGAATTTCTTCATATGAGAAAACCACAGGCTTCTCCACGTCAAAAAGATCAGCCCCTATGGCTGCAGCAAAATGGTTAAGTCTCAATATTACCAACGGACCATTATGCTCTCTATATGAGAGAGAGAGAGCATTGAAACAACAAGAAGCTATGAAATCAAAATCTCTTGCTTCTGTAGTTATGTATCTAAATGAACTCCTGGTCCACATAAGAGATGAAATCAAGCTGGGATAAGACTTATGTGAATTACATTTACTACATATTGTATTCTTTTAATCCTAATTGACTTTCTATCTGTGATATTGTGTTCAGCTTCCATTTGTGTCTTTCCGTAGTTTTCCTCACATGCTTTCAGTGTTTAGAACCTAAGGTGAGTTTATACAGTGGGCTGAGAACTGTAAGTAGTTGATAAATAAAAAAGGTTTGGAAAAAAAAAAGAAAGAAAAAAGAAGAAAGTACAAAGAAAAGAGGAATGATTTTAAGAAACAAAAGCAGAGCATGCCTGGAAAATTCTGAAGTGACAATAGCAAATTGGACATGTTATTTCAAGAAACAAATCATTCTAGTTTCCTTCCCATACAGGACTAATGGAAAATGTAACCTTTGAATTATAATGTTTGATTTGATAATTAAACAATATGATTTGCAGCAGATTGTGAAAGTCAGTTTCAGGTCATATCTAAAATAAATACACTAGACTCTAGTGGGATCCAAAATATAAACCTTTTGAAATGTTTTTCTGGTGGTCACTAGATTCTCCACTAGTTCGCTTCCAATCCCCAGATTTGCAGCAGATGTACCTCCCAGAAGCACAACAGAAGCTTGTGTTTCGAAGATTATGGAACTTATGAGAAATCTTCCCATCAAGATTTTTTTCACCACTTCCTTCGGTTTCAGAAAAGCAGCCTGATGATCTCAAAGAAACAAAAATAACTACAACTAGAATGAGCAGAACCAGAGCAACCCCCAAACTCCCGACAATCCACACATATGGCATGTGAGCATTATGATTCACTTGATTTACTGCAACACAAATAATATTAAGGAAAAAAAAAAAAAACATACAGAACAATTATAAGGTCAGCAAGGCTTTATGAGACAAATTGTTGAGGCAACTATGAAATAACACTTCAAAAAACAATTATGGCTAAGATGAGGATGTTTAGAAAGATGTTAAGAAGCATGGTCATGGACACGTGACACGACAGACATGTGAACACGCAAATTTTTAAAAAATGTAGGACACGACACGTTGGAGACATGTGCAAAACTTATAATTTTGTATATTTATTACATGTCAAACTTTTTGGCATTATATATTTATTTTATCTAAAATATTTAATTTCATCAAATTCATCAAACTTGGGTATGCTATTTCAATAAATTTATTAAAAATGGTCCCTAGTGTGTCTTTAGTGTATCCTTAGCATGTCCCAACATGTCTGCAACGTGTCCCAAGTGTCCCAGTGTGTCTTAACACGTCCAACACATGTCGGACACCGGTATTTGACCTCCAGAGAGGTGTTCGGACTTCATTAGATAGATTAGGAAAGAAAGAATAGAAATAAATATATTCGTGAAATAGTAGTTGCATCAATTGAACAGAAGTTGAGAAAACTAAGATGGTTTGGTTATGTACAACAAAGACACAGTTAGATTAACAGTAAGGAAGGCGATAAGATTGGTGTAAATCAAAATGTTAGGAGTAAGGAACCAGTGTATAACCCTTTAGTACCATAGGATGAGGTACTAAAAAAAATTAATTTAATTTAACTTAACTAAGTATATAACCCTTTAGAGAATCATGTAGTCTACCCGAACCAGTTGGGATACAACACTTAGTTTGGTTTGGTTTGGTTTCGTTTGAGAAATTCAATATTAAAGAAACTATTAGGGGGTCATAAATGTCTCAGCTGTGTCTAACACAAGGGTCTTCCCCAATTTACTTTTTTTTTGTCACAAATTATACTTGATTCTCGTTGTCTATTCACAAGGTGCAACTTCACTTCACAGGGAACTACAACAAGAAATGCAAAAATGATTTGTCTTTTTCCAGATTTGCACATAAGGTGTGTAACTTTCTTTGGCAGTCAGATAGGCAAGCTGATACTTGAAGATCTTGAAAATTTTAGTTTATTATTGATCTATCAACAACATAGTGGTTATTATGAAATGTCAAGCAGTATTCATCTTCATTATCAATCAGCTACTGCCAATAAACAAAACTTACATACACCCCCAAAGAAGTACTTTTCATTTCCAAATAAAATTGCAATCATTAAGGAAGCAGGTAAAAGCCAAATAGTTAATAGTTTTCAACAGAATAGTTTACCATTGAATAGAAAATGCAGTAACTACGCCTACCTGCAACACTTGGTACTGGAACAGGAGCTGGAGGGATATCATTCTTTGTAGGATATGTCTCACCCGGAACTACAAAAAGTAGACATATAAACCAACACAAAATATCAAGTCTAGCATACATATCCAAATGATACGAACAAAGTAAATTCCACAAGATAACATTAGAATTTGAATCCAGCAAACTGATCTCCTGTATTTTTCATTCAATCAATCAAATGAATGGGATATTTAAAGAAATTCAAACACCCAAGCTATGACGCATCATGATTTTTCCTTGGCTCAAACTGTTGACTTCATAGTTTTATTTATGGGCTTTCATTATGCACCTTCTATTGTCTTTTATCCACAAGATAACTGTTGCTTAAGTTTTCAAGCTTTCACCAAAATTCTCCAAGGGTATTGTTCAATTTTCATTGTATTACAAAAGAGTAGCTATTACTCGGCAAAAAATAATTTCGCCCCTAGACCAGCTTTGATTATATACCCAATTCAAGTTCATACATCCTCGCAATACTACCTCTTCTGGGACAGACTCTGTCCATACCTGCATTTGTACACAAGTACAAGCAATTAAGAATGTTCAACAGAATTACATGCCTTGATCTATAAAATGATCAAACCAACTGGACTAGCTCGGTTGGCTACTCTTGCACACTCTTATCTGGGAGGTAAGTGTTAGGATTAGGCACACTTAGAAATCAATCACACATAGAGAAAAATGAGACACAAGAGATTTTACGTGATTCGGCAATTGCCTACATCCACGGAGAGAGATTTCCACTACAGAATTATCCCGGAGGGAGATTACAGAACTCACACCTCACAGCCCTCTATAGAACTCTCTCACTCATAGATTACATACACACTCTATGTTGCCTCATCTTTCTCTTCCTCTCAACATCTATATATATATATATACACGGAGAGAGGGCAACAAAGTCAGGGAAAAAAGAATTATTGAAATTGGTCTGTCACCTGCCCTCTTCCCTCTTCCCTCTTCCCTCCTCCCTCCTACTTCTTGACTTGGAGCCAACCTTCATTAACTCCTCCATGTGGGCTGGAGCTAACAGTAAGAGGGTCAATCTTTGCCAAAGATTAAGTTGTTTATGCAATGGACGACTATTTCTCCCCCATTATAGGGCTGTATTGAGTTGTTTATTTCTTCCCATTATGAACTCTCTTAGGGTAGTGTTGGGTTTCTAACTATGTGTTGTTGGACTATAATTGTCCAGTTCGATGTAATTCTTCTCATATTATAACTTGGCTCTTACGGATTGACAAGTATATAATACATACATAGTGGTCCTTATAAAAAAGGTTTCTCATTTCTGTACATCTGATCACTGTCATCTTACTTGAAGATGTATCAAGAAAACCTTGATTCAAAATGTATTCCATTACATGCCTTTCCTACAATCACATTCCAATAAACTACTTCACCAACTCAAAATCAAACTCCATTCACATCACCAACAATCACATCTGAATCAACTAACCAAATATAATTTAAAAACCAATAAAAAATCCAAAAGAACAAACACCCATACCTGAATTCAATGGCACATAATAAAGTGCACCAACAGAGACATTATCAGGATTATCAATCCCATTCAAAGTCTCAATACTACCCATACTAACCCCAAACCGACTCGCCAAGGAGTCGATACTATCCCCATCTTTCATCACATAACTCATCAAGTAATTCCACAACCCACTGGAGCACCCACAGAACAACCGCAGAGGCACCACCGCCCGAGCACGCGCCGCCTTCATATTATTGGGGAAAAAAGCCAACCCATCATAGGCTTCAACCACCACATCATACACAGATCCACTATTTTCTCTCACAGTGTATGTAGTGTTAGTCAAGTACTTCTTAATACTCCGAAAACAAGAACAGTTCTTCCGAATAAACACATAGTCTCGGCCGTTGCCTTCGAATGTCAAGTCTTCGGGCAACACGTCGAACATGCTCTGAATCACCGCTAGGGTTTCGTTTGAATTGGGCTTGAAGGCTAAAAACGATGTGCATAAGCGAGTTGTGTCTGAACAGTTCAATGGAGTAGGGTATGAAAAACAGAGTAAGTGTGATTGGAGAAGAAAGAACAGAGAAACCCAGAAAGATTTTCCTGTAAGATTCATTGTGGAAAGATTAAATCTTTGTAAAATGAGTAAAATAGAGTGAAATAGAGAAAATCAGTGAAGTTGGGAACCAGGTTTTTGGTGGAATATGATATGATAGAGAAATTGCTGAACTTAGAGTGAATTTGAGGAGTTGGATGAAATTGGGGGAAGGAAGAGGAGGAGGAAGATGATGAAGAAGGAAACAAGAGGGTTTCAAGTACAGAAGAAGAAGAAGAAGAAGAAGAAGTTGTTTGAGGAAGAATGAATGAGAGGACTGTGAACAGAGCATTTTTTAGCCCTTTCCTAGCTAAAGACTGACTGGCAACTGCAATTAACACTAAAATAAAAAATAAAAAATAAAATAGAGAAAGTGACTGAGTGTGAGAGAGAGAGAGAGAGAGAGAGAGAGAGATATTTTAGACTCTTTTAAAATGATTAAAATGACCAACTGTCCAATAACTTGTTTTTTTAGCAGTGATTTTGGTCCAGTTCAAGATCGAATTGGATCGTGTAGATAAATTTGTGAGGATTTATTATAGGTCTCGTTTTGATAATATAAATTGTTCAATATGTAAAATTCGTCGAGGACTATATGCCTGTAAAAAATCACATTAATCGGATATCAATAGCTATGTGAACAAAACAGTTTTTTATCAACCGTTAATTATTTCACCGTCTATTTTTTTATACAAAACTGATTTGATCACATAGCTATTGATATCCGATCAACATGATTTTTCACAAGCATGTAGTACTCGACGAGTTCTACATATTCAACGGTTCGGATTATCAAAACGGACCCAAAAAATAGATCCCATGAACCGAACTGGACGGGTCCAATCTTGATCTCAACTTTAGACAAGCTCAACCTATGTTTTTTTGGGTAGAAAATTTTTAATGACTGTCTAATTTTTTTAAGAAGTTAAAAAAAATGAGTAAATTACTTAGGAAATAGATTCTCTTTACTTCATGTGTGTTCATTATGATTTCTGTTTTGATAATTTAAATTGTTTAATGTGTAGAGCTCTTTTGTTCATATAAAAAATTATATTGATTGGATATCGATAATTTTTTAATCGGATCATATTTCTGTCATTAATTTATTTTAAAATTTATATTTACTATTGACGGAAACATAATTTGATCAAATTGCTATCGATGTCCGATTAATGTGATTTTTACAATATATTGAACGGTTTGAATTATCAAAAAAGGATCCGTGGTGAGCCCCCATTGACCCAACAATAGATTGTATAGAAGGTTAGCCCAATTACTTATGTTTCTCACTTTGATCATTGTAGTTTTTTTTTTCTCACTTTGATTATTCATATTTTAAATTTTTCTTAATTTACTCATGAATCTAACTTTTATTCAAAATTAGACAAAAATGTCACATTAATTGTCACATGACATAAAAATATATTATTATATTAAAATTTGAGTTTGTGTTAGATGTATGAATTATTTATAATAAAAAAATTATGCCACATGGCTATCAATCTGTCATGTTTTGTCTAATTTTGGATATAAGTTAGTTTTTAGATAAAACATGAAAGGTTAAAGTAAGACAAAAAAAATGGGAGAATTACATACAGGTAGAAGAAATAAAAAAAAATTATCAACACATGAGGGGTACAAGTGACACTTGCACCTCCCATACTCTTTCATTTGCACTTCATCACATACGCACTTTAAACACTCAAGTGTTAGTAATTTTTTTTCTTCTTCTCCCATCTGCATGTTGTTTCTCAAAAAATAAATAAATAAATACATAAGGACAAAATTAAAAAAATTGCCAAACATAAAAAAAAATGGCAAAGTAATGTGTTTGTAATTTTTATTTATTTTTGTGACTTTTTTATATGAAAGTGTAATGTGATATTTTCACGTTTTGTCTTAAGATTTTTATTTTATCCTTATTTTAGTTTGGGAGAATTACATATTATTATGGTGCAGAAAAAATATTTGCAAAAAGATAATTGCCCTTTTTAGTTTTATAGAAAAGGTTAAGGTGAGGATATGTTGACAAAAAGATAATTGCCCTTTTTAGTTTTATAGAAAAGGTTAAGGTGAGGATATGTTGATCTTATACTAAAGAAGTCAACTTGTTTAGATGTATGGCAATTATGTTGATTTATGAGATTGTTTATAATTTTTTTTATTATAAAAATATGTGTCACAGCATTTAATATAATTTTAATTACAGTTAGTTAGATAGAAATAATTTAAATATTTTTTTAAAAAAATTAATTGTTAAAAATTAGGATAATTTATGCTTTTAATTTTTAATATCTAATTATAAAATTTTAATTTATAAAAAAACTGTACCAAACGAGTTGGTAATTTTTTATTTTAATTTTTTAATAAAAAAATAAGGGAAATGTTGTATGGGAAATGAAATTCAGGGGATGGAAAAGAGAAGCGACAGTTGGTCTGGTCCTACACTATTCGCGCCAATACCTAGCGGCACCGCGGATGTATCCCCCCGGTACCCAGGGGCATTAATGTCATATCAAATCAAAATGTATTTTATTTTTTAACATTAAAATTAAAAAATGAAAAATGTTTGGTGGCCCGAATTTTTGTGACTCGAATGTGTCAAAACAACGTCGTTTTATATTCAAAACGACGTCATTTTAGATATTTCTAACCATTTGAGCCATGATTTTTCGAACCACTTATCATTATTATTAAAAAATATAGGTACACATGTGATTTATTTTTATGATATATATTATGTATTTTTGTGATAAATATTATATATTTTTGCTAATAGAGTTATGATTGTTTGTGATTCAAAAATGAAATTATGTATTTTATGATAATGTTATGTATTTTTTATGACAATGTTATTCATTTTTTGTTATAAATGTTTGAATAAAAAAATATCTAACATTATTACAAAATACGTAATTTAATTTTTGAATTACAAATTGTCGTAACTCTATCATAGAATTATGTAACATTTATCAAAAAATTCAAAACATACACCGTAAAAATACATAATAAAATGCATATGGTACACATTATTTTTCGATCATAAATTGCAAAAATAGAAAAAATATTTGACAGTAGAATAAAAAAAATCACACAAATATTTTAAGTTATACCTCAATACAAAATGAGTTGCACTTCTCATATTTTGTTAATTTTATTTTATGTTTCACTGTCAAGTAATTTCTCCTAAAAAAATATTGCTGAAAAAATCCTTTATTAAAATATGTGCAATAAAAAAAATTCAAAATATATTTTATGCCAAACAAATGAAATATGTTATTCTAAAATCATAAATATGGTAGTGAAATATTGTGGTTGCATTCCTTGATTGTTTGGTTTTCAACAAAGAAAAATCTTTTAATATATATATATATATATATTTTTCTTTCTAAAAAAGCGACATCAACATGCTTTTTCCATTTACTTATAAAGTTTTACAAAAACTCAATTTCAATTATAATAATCAATTTTATATAGATTCTATTTGATAAATACTTATTTTCTATATATTTTTTATTGTGTATTTAGTTTTGTCGTTATCAGATTTTCTTCTATATGGTTGATATTTTAATTTAATTATTATGATATTTGAAATAAAATTATCTAGATGTACAAATAAATAAATAAATAAGACAAAATGTGTTTAATTATGTGTGTTATACGGGTCAAATTAATTTTATTTTTTATTTTTTGTCTATCTTATTGATTTCATAATATTAATTTCATAATATTAATTTTATAGTTAATACGAAATTATTTATTACAAGATATTTATATTTAATTTAAATTTTATGTACATATATACAATATATATGAATAATTCAAAAGAATATTAAAGAAAAAAAATCAATACTCTACATTTTTAATTTATATATTTTCTTCTTAATCCAATTACAACATATTTATATTTAATATTTTAAATAAATTGTGTGTAGTTCTATTTTTACATATTTTTTTATTTTCTAAATAAATATAAAAATAAATAATGAGAATCACTCTTAATTTTATATTACTAATTCTCTTTCTAATTTAACTATTATTTTTAATATCAAAATGATTGTTTATTTTACTATCTTACAATTTAGGCCTCGTTTGGGAATATGCTTTTTTAGTAATTTTTTGACTTTTTGACTAAAATATGATGTAAAAAAAAAACTAGTATTTTGGGATGACTTTTTAATTTTTTACGAAAAGATGTGTAAAAAATAGAGAGAAAATAGAATTTTTGAATTTTTGGTATAGGTTGTTGGTTTTTTAATTTTTTTAGTGACTTTTTAACCAAAAAAATCACTTTCCAAACGAGGCCTTAATATATATCATATAAAATTATTATATAATAATTACACTTTTATAGCACAATAACACTAATATTATCAAAATAAACAAATAATTTAACTAAATTTATTATATTATATAAAAGTATTCAACTAACATTTTTATATAATGATAAGGCTAAAATTATTAAAACAAATAATTAAAATTAAAATTAAAATTTTATTTTGAATTAAAATTAATATTATTCTTTTGTAAAACATTATAATACAAAATATCATTACATTAATTAAAGTAAACTCCATTGTGATTTTATGTCAAATATCATATTTTTAAAAGTGATTTACATATACGTGTAACGTCCAATTTGATATTGATTGATTAAAATAATGGAACTCAATACTTTTTTTTGTTAATTTTGTAGAAGATAATTTGACAAATGTCAATTGATAAATAGTGTGGAGTATTATTTTAAATAATAATGATTCATCAAAAATGATTATGTATATTGAATGCACCTATTAATATTTATTGAATAATTTTTAAATAAAAATTTTGAATTTATAGTAATGTTCCTTCATGAGCTCTGCTGGAAGAGCTATGCAAAAATAATTTAGCTGGAATAAAAATTTTGCAGTTATTATGATGTATCATATAATTAATTAGAACCCCTTTAAGAACTGAAATTATTAAGGTTATAAAGATTTTGTGCCTGATTCATTTTGAGGACATTGTTTATAATTTGAATTTGTAATTTTTTTATATATCAATGTAAATAACTTTTACGATCTTACTGATATAAACATAAATTCTACTTTTGAGTCAACCCATCGTAAACACATTTTTCGTGTAATAAAATACTTAAATGTTGTCATATAAAAGTATTATAATACATCAAATATCACTTGAAGCATAATTAAAGATTTGATGCACCACTTTAGACACAACAAAAAAAATAAGAAATTAGTTAAGACGGACTTGAGTCCTAGGACTGTAAATCCCCTGAACTATTTGGTTGGATTGGATATGTATCCTGTGTTTGTTTT